CAGCAGTGCTCTGGCCTCATCCCTGGCCTCCGGGTACCCCTGTCTGCTCTCTGCTCCCCAAACACCTGGGGCTCTATCCTCCCTGGGACCACCTCCCAAGTCTCATCCATCTTCCAGGAAGCTCTCTTAGTTGATTTACACAAATTTGAGCCTGAGGCATCCAGACAGTCTAAACCTCAAAATCTACGAGAAAAACTCACTCTCCTTTATTCAAAGCATATACTATTTCTAGCCCACATTTTCAGACACAATAAGAACTGACCTCCACCTTTGGTGACCAGTGGCAAAATATTCACAGTAGCACACAATGCTTCAAAACCGCTGTTCGGTTCTTCAGCTTTCGGTCTTAGGACCCATTATACTCAAAAAATCATGGCCAACTCCAAGGAGCTTTTGTTTATGGGGATGATATCTATTAATATTGACTGTATTAGAAATCAACTGAGAAATTAAGAATATAAAAAATATTTATCAATTCACTGAGAAATAACAACAAATCAACTATGTTAACATACCTCTGTAAATGTCTGTTACCTATTTTTTGATTTTTATTTATTTATTTATTTTTTGCGGTACGCGGGCCTCTCACTGTTGTGGCCTCTCCCGTTGCGGAGCACAGGCTCCGGACGCGCAGGCTCAGCGGCCACGGCTCACGGGCCCAGCCGCTCTGCGGCACGTGGGATCCTCCCGGACCGGGGCACGAACCCGTGTCCCCTGCATCGGCAGGCGGACTCTCAACCACTGCACCACCAGGGAAGCCCTATTATCTATTTTTTTAAAACAAAAACACTAATGTCTCACCTCATATATAAGATGGCACTATTTGGGACATACTTGTATACGAAAGTATTTGTTGTTTACCTGTGGTCATTATCTATTTTTATTTCTAAGTCTGGCAACCTTATTCAAAGGAAATAGCTTCTGCCTTCGGTCTGCAGGGGTGTGTTATTGTGGCTGAAATAGATGAAGAACATCTGCTCTCCCAGATATGTAGTTGGGAAAGGGAGCAGAATTTTTATAGTTTTTTTTCAAATAATTGTGGATATTCTTCTCTATTACACCGAAATTCAACAAGTGGTAATTTCTTAAAAGTTGGTTAAAATGTGGGGCCTGAAACCACACCAGTGAACTTTTTGTACTTTGTTATGTTAAAATGTGTTGATCTTTTTATACTTTGAATGGATCTTTTACCCATGCATGGTTTTGTAAATAACAGGTGGGTCGTTTGGAAAACATCAGCTTACTGAGTTATAAACAGCTTCTAGGTGTTGAGTATATACTATTTAAAATGCTTTCTTAAAATCGCTTCAATCTCATTTGAAAAGTCTTAAGTATTAGAAAGCTGCCAGGTTCACGCTGATGGATATAAGTTTTCCAAGTGGGAACTGCTTTCTTGGCAACCCATTTTCCTTGACATGGCAGGATCACTTCATTTGCTTTCAAGAGAACGTCTACCAAATACCCAATAATGGAATAAGCAGAGTTCGTCATCTGTTCTTTCAAGAAAAAATAGTGATTCACGAAAAGGTGGCTAGTTGAGCTGGCAACTCAAAAGTCCCACAGATGCCTCCTCCAGATGACCACTGTGGTTTGGAGGACAGCGGAGGTGCTTTATGCCAACTTCGTAGTTCATCACGCAGACTATTAAAAAGAGCATTCAGGGTCAAGATGGAATAAAGTGAGTAACTTTCACTGCTTTGTCAAGGACATTCTTAAGTAAACTGCCCTTTCTTTTTGCTGCCAGTGCACGAAGAACAAGAACACAGTGGTCCTGCTTGGTGTGGCCGCACTGACTCACATTAAAGCAGCTCCACTGTTTTTGCACCATCAGTGCCAATGTCACCTAGTGAAAAGGGCAAATGATGTGTTGGCAGCACAACTAGTTAATAACAGTGATTTTGATCTTATGATCCTGATTGGTTTCAAGGACCTCTAGGGGTCTGTGAACCACACTTTAAGAACACTTGCTTTCAACTCTCGGCTCCTCCCCAAAGCGCCTGAAACGCAGTACCTGCTTGCAGGCGTAGCTGCAGTGTTCACACTTGAACGTCTTCTCGTTTTTGTGAGTTTTCTGGTGCTGAATGAGAGCATAGCGCTCGTGGAAGCCAGCAGAACAGTAGCGGCACTTCATCTCTGCAGCTTTGTACGTATGCAGCTTGAGCAAATGGACACCTAAAAGAGTAACAGAACATCACGTGGGAGAATAGGGTTACTTTCTGTGAGGCCGATTTCCCCCTACGCTCCAAACAGGGTTTCTCACCCTTGCTACTACAGGCAGACCTCGGAGATATTGCAGGTTCCGCTCCAGACCATCACAATAAAGTGAATCACATGGATTTCCTTGTTTCCCACTGCGTAGTCTATTAAGTGTGCAGTAGCACTATACCTAAAAAACAATGTACATACTTTAAAAATACTGCTAGAAAATGCTAATCGTCATCTGAGCCTTCAGCGAGTGATAATCTTTTTGTTGGTTTGTTTGGAGGGTTTGAAATATTGAGAGATTTACCAAAATGTGACATGGAGACAAGAAGTGAGCAAATGCTGTTGGAAAGATGGTGCCAACAGACTTGCTCAACGCAGGGTTGCCACAAACCTTCCATCTGTAAAGTATGCGGTATCTGAGAAGCACGAGAAAGCAAAGTGCAATAAAACGAGGTCTGCCTGTATTAACGCTTGAGGCTGGCTAATGCCTTCCTGGGTGGGTGTCCTGTTGTTCAGCAGCATCCCTGGCCTCTACCCTCTAGTGCCAGTAGCATCCCTTCCTCCCCACTTGTGACAACCAAAGTGCCTCCAGACACTGCCAAATGTCTCCTGGGAGGTAAAATCAGTCTCAGCTAAAAAACTGCTGCTCTAAATGCACAGCACACTGACATCTCATTTTAATATTCGTTCATATAGTGTTAAGCGTTACATAAAGTAGGGCATATTGGACCTAGTGTGTTCGTTTAACAGAGCACTTGGAGAACCTTACGGTGTGGGTGGACTTTTAGGATAATGTTAAGATGGTTTTACATAACAAAGATATAACATCTGTATTTTGGCTTAAAATAAAAGCCCCAACGTTCTGTTAGAGGCCATTGCTCTGTTTTTTTCTACGTCGTACTTGAGAGGCGCGCTCTAGGATAATTTCTGCTCAACTAAGTCTAAAGCGTGGTGGCTTTGTGATCCTTTGTGTAAGACGTCTCTGCAGGGCAGAGGTACACACCTCATACATGCCAACTCGGTCATTTAAAGAGCTTGGTGTCTCATAGTGACAGGAAGGAAGACTAGCTTGTGTACAAAGCATCTTACAGGTATATGGAGGTATAGGGAGTGCGCCACCGACTTGGATGGGACATAACCTGTATTTCTTTGCCATGGTGTCAAAAATGTCCTTTCTTGGCAACTGGCTCAAGACTCTTGTGCCCTACAGGGTCTCACTGGGCTGTGTTTTGCAACTGAAAAAGGATCTGGACGCAAAGTTAAGACTTCATTAAACACCTTTACCCTTTCAGAAATGTTTGCAAATGTTTGCAAATGTTTGTGCCTCTCATCTCCAGAATTTCTCTGGGCAAACCAGGGACTCTATTTCTGCCGACATATTCTGAGTGTCACAGTGTTATGTGTTTTAGAAAGAAGATGAGAGACCAGGAACCCTGAAACAAAGGAGAGGGGCTGGCTCACTCACCGTCACCCCCACCACCGCCCCCGGCTAAGTAGGGCCGGTTTCCCCTGCAGGCGGGATACAATCCCAGCTCCCAATCTGGCACTCGGAACTGCTCAAGGTGCCTCGTATTGTTAGGAGGGTTCACCTTGTCACAGTACGGATTTCACGTGACATGAAGCGGGCTCTTTTACTGAAGCAAGTTCCTTATGGGAAGAACCATATCTTGCTTCCACCCTCGGTTCCCAGAATTGTTTAGGGTCACAGCAAGGGCTTAAGAAAAATTTGCTGAGTGTCACGGGAGAGATCATTTAATAGAGAGTCAGAACCTGCAATCAGGCCACCTCCTGGCACCTGGTCACGAGACTCCGGGGCAGTTCGCTTTTTGTCCCTTATCCGCTTCGTCATCTGTAAAAACAGGCCCAATATGGAATAAAATAATATCCGGGGAAGCCCTTTATGAGCTCAAATGCCCGTGAGAGCTCATCTGTGTACCTGGACCGGGCCTGGGCCAGACCCTGAAACTGCACTTATGAGATCTAGCCACAAGATGGCACCACAGGACGTCCGGAAAAACAAACAAACAAACACCCAGGAGCAGCTCCTGAATCCCGCTGCCTCCCTGGAATCAGGCCCAGGGCTCCACAGGCTTCCTGAAGAGCCGGCCCACGGGGCAGCTAAAGGAAGTTCTCTAAGCCAGACACTCACGGAGGTCGCTCTTCCTTGCAGTGACGGTGGCACAATGCGGGCACTGGTACTTAGGGACGTTCTCGCCGTGCTTCTGCAGGACGTGTATCTTCATGGTCCCGCTCTGGGTGAAGCGTGCGTGGCAGATGTGGCATTCGTAGGGCCTCTCACCTGGGACATGGATGACAACAATGAGCCTCCACTGAGGGGCTTCACCCCGAAACCCCTGGTGCTCCCCAAAGGACACCTGGAGCTGAAAGCCTTTCTTTCCCCCCCAAGACTCCCTTTGCAACTCCTTTCTCATATGTTTAACCCCCAACTAGGGCCAGGTTCCTAAATCAAGCCCGAACAACGTGATGTCCAGCTGTGTGGACAGCAGCCCAGATGGGTGACTCTCCTAACATCTGGCGGTACTCACAGTTCAAGACCCACACCTAGTTCCTACCCTTGGTGTAAAGAACCCAGAAGCACACATAATCATAGTCCTTATACAACAAAATATAAAGACAGTGCTTTACGAAATCAGTACACTTTTTTGTTTTGCCTTAACGTTGAAGGATGAATTAAGGCACTGACTTATAAAAACCTGGAAAACCTATGGGAGCAAACAGTTGACGGTGTTTACTCTTCACAGTGGGGTGACCACGGGGTATTTACGTGCTGTGTTTATGTGCTGAATTATGCTCCCTTAACGCTAAATAAATGCAAAGGCAACATCCCTGTGTCAAAACTTCACTTTGACGTTCGAACTTTAATTCTGCACCGAAGATAACTTTGACAAGGTCTCTTGTAAGAAGGAAACTATGCTTTACTTATTTGGCCTTAAGCGTGAGAAACTTTTACCGGAATGCGTCCTCATGTGCCGTTTCACCTTGTAGGCGTCTTTGCCGGCGTAGCTACAGAGATGGCACTGAAAGGGGCGTTCGCCCGTGTGCGAACGGATGTGGCGCTTCAATTTACTTGCCTGATAAGCAAATGAAAGATATTTACTGCAATAGAAACTTCAAACATGTGGCGTCTTCGATAAACCAGCGTTATAAAAGATACCTAAACGAGTCTGATCTTAACAGCAGAGCCTACCTCACACCCTGGAGAAAACATGCTAAAGCCACTGCTGCTTCTTTTCTGTGGCGGATGATGTTCTGCATTTGATGCGTGTGCATAAGACCCTTGGGCGGTAATGAACAGGACGTTCAAGAGACTCTCACCTTCAGCTTCACTTTACAAAGGAAAATGGAAATCTAGCTGCTCCGTGGCATCCACAATCTTATTTTCATTTCTAAGGCGACCGCCTCTCAATAGCTGCAAAGTTTAGATCGTGCTGCAGAAGTGCAGAGGCCAGAAAATTTTTTGCTTGCATAAACAGAGAAACTTGAAAACATGAGCTCTTGAATGGACTGACATCTGTCGGAGGCACTTCACAGTTCCAAGTTCTGTGGACCCTAAATGGCCCAGGGATGGAGGAACACCTTCCTTGCCATTAAGAATAGATTCTACACGGGGACTTCCCTCGTGGTGTAGGGGTTAAGAATCCGCCTGCCAATGCAGGGGACACGGGTTTGAGCCCTGGTCCGGGAAGATCCCACATGGCGCGGAGCAACTAAGGCCGTGCGCCACAACTACTGAGCCTGTGCTCTACAGCCTGCGCGTCACAACTACTGAGCCTGTGCTCTAGAGCCCACGAGCCACAGCTACTGAGCCCGCGTGCCACAACTACTGAGCCCGTGTGCTGCAACTACTGAAGCCTACATGCCTAGAGCCCGTGCTCCGCAACAAGGGAAGCCACTGCAATGAGAAGTCCGCGCACGGGAACAAAGAGTAGCCCCCGCTCGCGGCAACTAGAGAAAGTCCAGCACAGCAACGAAGACCCGACGAAGCCAAAAATAAACAAATAAATAAACTTACATATATAAAAAAAGAATAGGTTCTACGTGGTAGCAGTTTGTAAGAACTTTTAAGTAGAAGAAAATACATTCTAATTTGATTAATTACATATCGTAGGCAATTAGTTAAAAGGCAAACATGCCCATTTTATCATGTTTTTGGCTTATTGTAGTAACCTTCTAGGACTGTTCTTATTCTGTATTCACTTATTTCAGGCTCTTTTCTACCTTTAGCAGAAACACAGGTAATGAACCATGCTTGGGCTACAGACATGGGAAAGCCCTCAGCAGCCTGTCTGTGATCTTAGGAAGGCTCCACTTGGCCTGGTTCCCTAATGTGTGGCAAGTACAGAGAAGCCTAAAATACATTCAAGAACAAAGGAAGACTCGGAATGGAAAACAAGATGCAAACCAAAAAATTTAGCTTAGATTTTTAGAAAAAGAAAAGAAATCTTTGAGTGTATCAGAAAGCAAAACAAAAGGAATTTTAAAAATTGTAGCATGAGAGGTTTGATAAGCTCACTGGTGTGCATGATCAAAGAAAGCTGTGTGTAAACCTTCTCTGGACGGCTTTGAAAGGTAGGAGGGGGAAGGAGGGGAGTTCAGAAGTTGGGGTACTCTGCATCCCAGCTTCACTCATTCCTG